ACACAATGGAGTGTGGGAGTTAGTTGAATTGCTTGTAGGTTTTAGGCCTATTGGTTGCAAATGGCTGTTTAAAACCAAAAAAGACTCTAAGAGAAATATAGACCGTTATAAAGCAAGGTTGGTTGCTAAGGGTTACACCAAGAAAGAAGGTATTGATTATAAAGAAATATTTTCTCCTGTTTCATCCAAAGATGCATTTAGAATTATGATGACTCTTGTGGCTCATTTTGATTTAGAATTGCACCAGATGGATGTTAAAACTGCTTTCCTGAATGGGAGTCTACTTGAAGAAGTTTACATGGTTCAACCTGAAGGGTTTAAAGAAGCTGGTAAAGAACATCTAGTGTACAAGCTTAACAAATTCATATATGGGCTTAAACAAGCCTCCAGGCAGTGGTACTTGAAATTTGATGAAATTATTACAAAATTGGATTTGTGGAAAATAAGCTTGATGAATGTGTTTATCCCAAAATAGTTAATGGCAATTTTATTATTATGGTTCTCTATGTTGATGACATTTTGCTTGCCACAAATGATTTGGGCTTCATGAATGAGACCAAACAATTTTTGTCTAGGTCTTTTGATATAAAAGATCTTGGTGAAGCCTCTTTTGTTCTTGGGATAGAAATTAAAAGAGATAGGTCACGTGGTTTATTGGGTTTATCACAGCGTTCCTACATTGAGAGTGTTCTTAAAACTTTCAATATGCAAGACTGTAGACCTGGAGTTGCACCTGTTATAAAAGGAGACAAACTTAGCAAGGATCAATGTCAGAAAAATGAAGTTGAAATGAGAACTATGAAAGATGTGCCATATGCAAGTGTTGTTGGTTGTTTAATGTACATACATGTTTGTACAAGACCTGATATTGCATTTGCTGTTAACATGTTGGGAAGATTTTCTTCTAATCCTGGGTGGGCATATTGGGTGGTTGCAAACAAAGTGTTGAGATATCTACAACGCACCAAAGACTTCATGCTTGTATACAAAAAGATTGATGATCTGGATCTTCTAGTATATTTAGATTCTGATTTTGCAGGTTGTCAAGACACTATGAAATCAATTTTTGGGTATATTTTTATATTGGGTGGAGGTGCTATTTCTTGGAGAAGTGAGAAGCAAAGTATCACTGCTACATCTACAATGGAAGCTGAGTTTATTGCTTGTTTTGAGACTGCTTCACATGTTGTCTGGATGAAGAATTTTCTTACTAAATTGCAAGTTGTAGATTTTATATCTAAACTGGTGACTATTTTCTGTGACAATAGTGCAACTGTGTTCTTCTTCAAGAATAACAAGAGAACAAGAGGCTCTAAGCATGTTAGCCTTAAGTTTCTTAAAGTTAGAGACATGGTAAAAGAAGGTGATATATGTATTGAGCATATTAGCACAGAATCTATGTTGGTTGATCCTTTGTCTAAAGGTCTTAGGCATGTAGTGTTTAATGAACATGCTAAAAATATGGGTATTTTAGAGTCTTTTGATGTGCTTTAGTCAGTGGGAGTTACTTTGTAATTGCTGACTGGGATATTGCTTTTAATAAATTCTATTTTTATGCAAGCTTGTGTTATTTGATATCTGTTATGCTTATGACTAACATGATAATTTATTTATTTTTATTTTCCATTGAACATTGCATAAACTCATGATATCTTTGAGTCTTGCGGTTTGTTGCTTTGATTATCCCGGGTAAGGCACAAGGGAATCCTCCTGAAGTGATATGATTTTGTATCACTTGGAAGCTCCTGAGGTGATATGGTTATAATATCACTTGGAGGATTATTTCTTTCTAAGAGGTGTGAATCTATTCACCTTGATTAGAAAGATAAAATGCTTACACACATGTTTGATCCATGTTGATGGAAATTCTAGCATATGTGGTCGTAGATAGAATTCATACCTTAAAATGGTGCGATGCCTACTACGATTCATTGTTAGTCTTTTCTGTTGAGACTCAATGGATTATTATATGAGTCATTCTATCCTTGACTATGTGAGTAGTGTGGCCATCGTAGAGTCTAAAATCCTTTTTCAAAATGATTTTCTTAAAAACTCAAATATTTAAAATTATTTTCTTGTCCTCAATTAATGTTGGCGTCCAAGTGGGAGAGTGTTGGAATTTGGACTTACATAAATTGGTTATAGCCTGAAAGGATAGTGACGTGGACCAAGTGGTGGATAAATAAAAGGTCTAATATTAAATATTATGTGTGTGGATAAGTGATGCCTAATAACTATTGGCTTGTGATGGGTAGACACTCTTTATGAATAGAGGCCAACCCCTCTTTCCCTAGCTATTAGAAAACCCTAGCGTATTCTGCCTCTGGAATACGTGGTAACGGTAGACGTCCCATCAGTTAAGTTCTCTGGGCTGTGAGAACGCGTAGCTAGTGGATCGTGGAAGTTGGTCTCAGACTTAATTGCCGTTTGCTGTCGCTGCTGTATCCATGGAGTTAAACGGTATGCTTCCTTAAACTTTAACTTTAGATTGATTGCATAATTGTGTCTTAATCTCTACTATGACTGCGATTTAATAATCTTACATACTTTACCCACTCCTTTCCCCCTCCAAGTAAGATTTTACAGCGTGAATCAAAATTAGTTGAGCCATAAAAGTAGGTGCCGAATACCGGATGAAAAATATATATAAAAAAAAAGGTGCCAAAAATGAAAAATAAATGTAAGGTTTCAGTGGAGACCCACAGTAAGATGGGAGGGCTATTGCCCACCTGAGATTCACATTTGTGGTTCCCACTAACCATGACTAGAAAGACTAGGAGTACCTTAAATTTCACCCAAAAAAGAAAATAAAAATGAAATAAAAATTTAGTTTTTAGCCAAACAGAGAAGTATAAATTGTGCCTATTCAAACAACAATTCTCCAGCAGCTGCTAGCCAATTCCAGTTCTTTTGCTGTTCGAAACTATAAGCCAAACTTGTTACAAAAAAAAAAATGGCACAATATGGTAACTCAGTTATCAAGTTTCTGCTTGCCATGGACATGGTAATTATGCTATTTTTCTCGTCGGCCACCATAGCACAAGACGCTGCTATGGCGCCAACACCACCTATGGACACCGGAGACGGATTCGGGTTGCCAATTTCTGAGGCATTGGTTTGATTTTCAGTATTATTATCTATGGTGGTTGTTTTATTTCATTGAATCACTTTCTTTGAAGATATTTGTTGCTGATGATGTTGAGTTTGTACTATACGTTTGTCTAATATTGAGTACTGGCCTATCTGTTTGTGTTGTTGTTGATGTTATTTAATATAGTACAAATAAGTCGATTGGCTTCTTCTTTTATACATTTGTAAGTAATACAGTAGGACTACAAACTAGTAAAATAAAGTTTGCTACTAGTATTTTTTTAAGGGGCATTTGCATCTATATTCGTTTTTTTTTTGTCACGTTTTAACTTATGTCTGCTTTGCAAAATAAATTGCAAGCGTACCCGCTTTTTCGCATAACTTCAGCATACGGGGCTGAAGTAGCAAAGGCAATCACGCAAAATTTCAGCATTCTAGTAGACGGGCCTGAAGTTTTTGGTTTTGTAACTGGCGAACTTCAGCTCTAGAGCTGAAGTTTTTGTTTTGTAACTGGAGAACTTCAGCTCTAGAGCTGAAGTTTTTGTTTTGTAACTGGAGAACTTCAGCTCTAGAGCTGAAGTTTTTGTTTTGCCTTACAACAACAATAACGACCCAGTGTAATCCCACTAGTGGGTCTGGGGAGGGTAGTATGTACGCAGACCTTACCTCTACCCTGAGGGGTAGAGAGACTGTTTTCAGGAGACCCTCAGCTCAAGAAGACGACAAGAGACAATATATTAGTATTATCAATAGAATCATAATAAAATAACAACATATATATATAAAAATACGAAATAGATGGAAAGTACACCATAACCAGTAGGTAAAAACCGGCATCAGTAGAAACTACTAACATTCTAAAACTAAAACCTAACTGGCAAGTCTAACTCTGATGCTTCGAAGAAATATTCACAACTACCTCCTAACCTACAACTTTAATGCTCGACCTCCTCAATTCTCTGTTAAGGGTCATGTCCTCAGTAATCCTAAGTCGTGCCATGTCTTGCATGATCACCTCTCCCCAATACTTCTTGGGTCATCCTATACCTCTCCTCGTGCCCACCACAGTTAGTCGCTCACATCTCCTCACCGGAGCATCAGTGCTCCTCCTCTGAATGTGTCCGAACCATCTGAGTCTTACTTCCCTCATCTTGTCCTCCACGGGGCTATGCCCACCTTCTCCCGAATAGCTTTATTCCTAATCTTATCCATCTTAGTATGCCCGCACATCCACCTCAACATCCTCATCTCTGCTACTTTCATCTTTTGGATATGTGAGTTCTTAATCGGCCAACAATCGGTCCCGTACAACATGGCAGGCCTAACCACTGCTTTATGAAACTTACCTTTTAGTATTGGTGGCACTCTTTTGTCATATAGGACTCCCGACGCTAACCTCCACTTCATCCACCCCACCCTATACGGTGTATAAGATCCTCGTCGATCTCCACAATTCCCTGAATAACCGACCCAAGGTACTTGAAACTACTCCTCTTGGGAATGACTTGGGAGTCGAGCCTCACATCCATCCCCACTTTCGTCTGCTCGACGCTGAACTTGCATTGTAGGTATTCCGTCTTAGTCCTGCTCAACTTGAAACCCTTAGACTCAAGGGCCTGTCTCCAAACCTCTAGCCTCTCATTGACGCCGCCTTGCGTCTCATCAATCAGAACTATGTCATCAGCAAATAGCATACACCATGGCACCTCCTCTTGAATATGATGAGTCAGTGCATCCATCACCAGGGCAAATAGGAACGGGCTGAGCGCAGAACCTTGATGCAACTCCATAATAACCGAAAAATGCTCGGAATTGCCTCCTACTGTCCTAACCCTAGTCTTAGCTCCATCATACATGTCTTTGATCACCCTAATGTAGGCAATCAGCACCCCTTTCGCCTCCAAGCAGCTTTATAGAGCCTCCCTAGGAACCTTATCGTACGCTTTCTCCAGATCAATAAATACCATGTGGAGATCTTTCTTCCTATCCTTGTACTGTTCCACCGTCCTCCTAATAAGGTGGATAGCTTTTGTGGTAGAATGCCCCGGCATGAACCCGAACTGGTTGTCTGAAATAGACACAATCCTTCGCACTCTCATTTCTACCACTTTTCCCCAAACTTTCGTGGTATGACTCAGTAATTTGATACCCCTATAATTATTACAACTCTGGATATCACATTTGTTCTTGTATAACGGGACCATTGTACTCCACCTCCACTCATCTGGCATCCTATTTGTCTTGAATATAACATTAAATAACCCAGTTAACCATTCCAAGCCTGCTCTACCCACACACCTCCAAAGTTCAACCAGAATTTCGTCTGGTCCGGTTGCTCTGCCCCTACTCATCTTACGCATTGCCTCCATTACTTCCTCGACCTTAATGTGCCTATAACTAAAGTCATGGAGATTGTCGGCATTTCCCACTTCACCGAGCACAATATCCTGATCCCTTTCTTTATTTAGAAGTTTATAAAAGTAGGTCTGCCACCTCCTCTTAATCTGGTCATCCCCCATCAAAACTCTGCCGTCCTCGTGTTTGATGCACCTCACTTGGTCTAGATCCCTAGCCCTACTCTCCCTTGCCTTAGCTAGTCGGAATAACTTTTTCTCCCCGCCTTTGTCCACCGGTTCCTTATACAGGCGAGCAAAAGCCATTGTCTTTGCCTCCATGACTACCAGCTTCGCCTCCTTCCTAGCTACCTTATACCTCTCTCTGTTCATCCTCCTTTCCTCCCCGCTAGTGTTACCTACTAACTGCATGTATGCTACCTTCTTCGCTTCCACTTTTCCTTGGACAACTTCATTCCACCACCAGTCTCCTTTGTGACCACCGGAGCAACCCGAAGATACCCCTAACACCTCTCTCGCCGCCTTTCTTATACAGTCCGTCGTCGTTGACCACATAGAGTTTGCGTCCTCATAACTCCTCCAAGCTCCCATAGCCGATAACCTTCCTTCCAACTCCCAGGCTTTATCCTTTGTTAAGGCGCCCTACCTGATCCTCGGGCGACCTCGTACTAACCTTTTCTTCCTCCTTATTATAATACCAACATCCATCACCAAAAGCCTATGTTGTGTTGCGAGGGTCTCACCTGGGATAACCTTGCAATCCTCGCACAACCTTCTATCCCCTTTCCTGAGGAGGAAATAGTCAATCTGGGTCTTCGCCACCGAGCTTTGGAAAGTAACTAAATTCTCCTCCTACTTCGGAAAACTTGAGTTCGCAATCACCAGCTCAAATGCCTTGGCGAAGTCCAACAGAGAAGTGCCCCCTCCGTTCCTTTCCCCGAAACCGAAGCCGCCATGCACCTCAATATATCCACCTGCAGCCGACCCAATATGACCACTGAAATCTCCGCCTATGAATAACCTCTCGACGGGCGAAATATTACGCACAATCTCATCCAACCCTTCCCAAAAATGCCTTTTAATCTCCTCATCCAACCCTGCTTGCGGCGCGTACGCGCTAGTGACATTTAAAGTACACTCACTAACCACCAACTTAATAGTCATTAATCTATCATTCACCCGCCTAACCTCTACCACAGACTCTTTAAGATGCCTATCTACCAAGATACCCACTCCATTCTTAACCCTTTGTACTCCAGAGTACCACAACTTATACCCATCCGCGTCCTTTGCCCTGGATCTAACCCACCTAGTCTCCTGAACACACGCTATATTAATCTTCCTTTTCTGGAGGATCTTAGCCAACTCTATAGACTTACTTGTTAGTGAACCTACATTCCATGACCTGATTCTCAACCTATAGGCTCCCTTGCCCCTACCTCTCCTGCCACCCGTCCCACCACCTGGACCCTGCACGACCCCACACCCTTTGCCTCACCCGAGGACATGCCCTTACTCTATCATCCCAGACTACAGCCGCTACACTCACGACAAGCTAAAGAAGACTTGTTAGCACACCATGAACAACGGACCAAACTAGAAGGACATAAGTAGCTAGTTGTATGATTAAACTAGTGCAAACTAAAATAACATCAATTTAACTAACACCAAGAGAGAAAAAATAAAACGGGAGGTACCAACTCCCGAGAACAGAACCTGTGCTTGTTTTGATGTACTCGATGTTGTTGCACGCTCACGTTCAGCTTCCCCCCGCCCCGTTGTTGACACTCGCCTAGGCTGCTCTCCTTTGCTTGTGCGCGTGCACCTAACTTGTCTCCAATAGCTCCGATAACTTCCCTACTGTGGGTGGGGTCGCCGGCGCCTCTGAACTTTCGACTTGCTATACTCCCGGTGTTGTAGGACCCGACGTCCAGCCCTTGGAACTACCAACCAGCCTGCCTGCTCTGTTGCGTTTGCTCGTACACCTCCCAACGGAACCGATCTGCAGGTTTGCTCGTACACTAGATCTGCTACTGGCCCGACTCGTCGGAAAACAATGACGGAACCTGTAAAACACACGAACCCCGACGTCCAACAAAGTGCAACCTAAAAAACACACAAACACACAACGGAACCGAGAAAAAGAGACAAATGTTGGACTGTCACCGTCACCACTAGTGACACACAGATTGATATTAATTAATAAATTGATATCTGATAGGAATTGAAGCTAATCATTTGTGTTTCCAAGAATTTGTTCTTCTCTTATATCTTCAACTCATCTCATGCTTATACAGCACAATAGCAATCCTCTTGATGAAGACATAGTGTTAGAACACGCATATCTCTCTTTTATTCGAATAGTGAAAGGAAGAATAGAGAACAAAGCTCATAGTTACTAGTAGTACAGATGTTAGCCCACTTCTTCTTGGATATACAGTTTCACTGTTATCATCTAACAAATCTATCTATGCACAATCCAATCCAAAGCAGATAAAATAAGGAAAATTTCACATAAGAACAACTGAGCTCCCTACTTTTCAATTTTATAGCCCATGTTTATGGCAATCATCCCATGAACTGATGTTCCATAGCAGCACCAACAGTAGCAGAAGAGAGAAGAAGAAGAAGAAGAAGAAGAAGAAAACGAAGGAGGAGAAGGAGGAGGAGAAAGGAGGCTGAAGTTATTTAAAACGTGGGTACAAGTTAAAAGTTTTTAAAAAAAATGGGTATAGGTTAAATGGGGGCGACCAAATAGGGCGCCCCGTGCAATTTTTACCTTTTTAAGTGCTTTGCGGGGATAGGTAGGCCCAAAAAATGGGCTTAGGAAGGAAAAACAGAGAGTGCAAAGTTTAATAACGATTAATTTAATCAATAAGTTAAATAAGATAGATTAAAACTTGAATGAGTAAAAGAGAAAAGGTTTGAGCAATTTGTATACAGTCAAAATCAAATGCCTCCGATTTATAGGCTCGGGGGTCCGTCTTGAGCCCGAGTTTGGGCAAGGTCGAGTTCGAGCCTAATGGATCAGACCCGAGCTCGAAGGTAGAATGCAATGTTCAAGGTACAATGGACGCCGAAGGCGAGTATGCTCGGCCCCGAGATAGTACCGTTATGGACTTGTAACAGAATGGGCTAGATTCCTGCCACATCCCCAAGATCATGGCGCAAATTCCGAAATATGATTGTACGATTCCGTACTAGGCAGTTAGACAATTGTATCAAGAATATTCCTTACTGTAAATAGAAATATACCTTATTTAAGGTTCCCCTATTTTATAAAGGGGACCCCAATTATTTGTAATATCATCTCATCATTGGCAAGAATATACTATCCTACTTTTTTCTCTTACTATTCATTAGAATTGTCCTTTACATTTATTATTCTTACTTTATTGCTCTTAATCCATCTCGAGGTCACTAAGCTCGAGGTCACTACTGCTGAGTAACATTGATTTGATTCACTTATTTCTTTCACTTCTACTTCACATTTCTTGATTATTAATTAGTATTGAACTAAATCACATGTCTTTAAAACCACAAATCAAATTTAATTGTTACTCGTATTTTCGAGGTAAGACGTTTGGTGCCCATTGTGGGGCTAAAGATAATAGTGATTATTTCTTTACTGATTCTCATTACACACGTTGTCTTTATACTTTTTCTTGTCAAGAATTTTTGATTCTCAGGTTGAAACATGTCTAGCTCACAAAATGCACATGTTCATGACAACAAAGGTCTTGGAGAAAACAACAATACATGGTAGGTGTACCACCGATAAACCCAGGGAAAGTGCCAAATGTGGAACCAGTTGATGTGAGTTCGCACATTGCTTTGAATGCAGATCTAGGCGCGGACCCCAAAGGAAATATATGCCGGGAAGCCCGATTTGGGGGCCAAAGAATACAAGGAATGGGAGATGGGGGACTCAACCTCCAAGTAGTATTCGAGATGCTACAAGCTCAGCAAGTCGACATCGCTCAACTTCAGAGTCAAAATAAAACTCAAGAATCAGCAGAACCAGTAAACACTCGGCATACTAAACCAGTGCTAGAAAGGCCAGATGAAAGTGGCTCGGGGACTGACCCCACGATTATGAGAATGCTCGAAGATCTCACCAAGAAGATCGAGTCCGGGGAAAAGAAAATTGAAGACAATGACAAAAAGGTGAAAACTTATAACTCCCATGTTGACCAAATACCGGGGGCACCTCTAGTCTTGAAAGGTTTAGATGCCAAAAAGTTCATATAAAAACATTCCCTCAGAGTGCAGCTCCGATGCCCATTCCTAAGAAATTTCGCATACCTGATATACCCAAATATAACGGAACAACCAACCCCAACAAGCATATTACTTCATACACTTACGGGATTAAAGGAAATGATTTGAATGGCGATGAGATCGAATCGGTCTTGTTGAAAAAGTTTGGAGAAATGTTATCAAAAGGAGTTATGATTTGGTATCACAACATAGCTCCTAACTCTATTGACACATTCGCTATATTAGCAGATGCCTTCGTGAAAGCACACGCCGGGGCCATAAAGGTGGCCACGAGAAAATCGGACGTCTTCAAAATAAAACAAAGGAACGACGAGATGTTAAGGGAGTTCATGTCCAGGTTTCAGATGGAAAGAATGGAATCCACTGGTCTCCGATGAATGGGCAGTACAGGACTTTATGCAAGGCTTGAACGAGCGAAGTTTGATTGCATCTCGACAGTTAAAATATAACTTGGTCAAATATCCAGCTGTGACATGGTCAGATGTGCACAATCGTTACCAATCAAAAATCGGGGTCGAGGATGACCAATTGGGAGCCCCCTCGGGTTCAGTTCATCCTAACAGATTTGCATCCAAGCCCCCAAGGGACACAAACCGGGAATCGAGATTCAACAAAGAATGGTATCAGCCATATGTCGATCGGAGGAACAATGGCCCGAGCTGTAACGCGCCTCAGAACGATCAGAGAATGATTGAGGTCAAAGTTCTCGGGGACTCGTGAGTAAGAGCGGGTTCGATAAACATACCAACCCCACAGAGGCACCTCGACTATCAGAGTATAACTTTAGCATAGATGCATCAGGTATTGTGTCAGCTATTGGGAGAATCAAAGACACCAAGTGGCTCAGGCCTATACAAACCGATCCTTCTCAAAGAAACTCTAACTTGGTGTGCAAGTATCATGGCACACATGGTCATAGAACAGAATTTTGCAGGCAGCTAAGGGAAGAAGTGGCTCGGTTGTTCAACGAGAGAATTCCTCAGTGATCGAGCTAAAAACCACTTCAGGGAGAGAGATGCAAGAAAAAAATGAGTAGGAATAACCACAACATGTTATCCACATAATCGTTGGCGGTGCCAATATCCCACAAAGACCTGTGTTCAATGCACCAAGGTGTTGATCACAAGAGAAAAATGGACTAGGAGCGATGTTCCCGAGGACGTCTTATCATTCTATGACGAGGAAGCAGAAAGCATATCTCAGTCTCACAACGACGCCCAGGTAATCTCTATCCTTTTAAATAAAATTCAACTTAAACGTGTTTTAGTGGATCCAGGTAGCTCAGCGAACATAATTAGATCGAGGGTCGTGGAACAACTCGGCATGCAAGATCAGATTGTACCTGCATCCCCGGTCCTAAATGGTTTCAACATGGTAAGCGAAACAACAAAGGGAGAGATTATCTTGCCAGTAAATGTAGCCGGGACCATACAAGATACTAAATTCCATGTTATTGAAGGCGACATGAGGTATAATTCACTCCTCGGGAGACCATGGATACACAATATGAGGGTAGTGCCTTCAACTCTTCACCAGATGAGGAAATTCCTGACAGATGAGAGAGTGAAAATAGTACACGGAGAGTAACATGCTGCAAAAGAGATGTTTGCAATCAAGGAAGTGGTACCGATACCAGAGCCTTTGATATCGGAAAAATCGAGCACCAAAGGTAATCAGGAGACTAAATAGCAATCACAGCCCCCAGCCTCGACGGAGTCGGAGCAACAGGTAATCGAAGGCGAAAAACGGGATTTCCTTACCCCCTCGAACCTTCGTCGCTCCCAAAGAGTCCGATGCAACCAAGTCAACTATCGAGGAACTGGATCAGGTCATACTTATCAAATACTTGCCCGAGAGAAAGGTATACTTGGGAACGGGATTGACCCCCGAACTCAGGAAAAAACTCATTCAATTTCTTATTGATAATATGGATTTCTTTGTTTGGTCCCATTTAGATATGACAGGTATTCTACCGGAAATCACCATATATCGACTAAGCACCAACCCCAGATTCAAATCGGTGAAGCAAAAAAAGAGGCCTCAGTTCGAGGTAAAGCATGCTTTCATAAAAGACGAGGTAACTAAACTTCTTAAAATAGGATATACTTGGGAGGTAAAGTACCTTGAGTGGTTAGCCAACGTAGTTATAGTTCCTAAAAAAGGAAACAAACTTAGAATGTGCGTAGATTATAAGGACTTGAACAAAGCATGTCCAAAAGATTCTTTCCCATTGCCAACCATCGATCGTATGATCGTGCCACGGCTGGCCATGAGACCCTAACTTTTCTCGATGCCTATTTCGGGTACAATCAAATTCAGATGAACCCGGAGGACCATGAAAAGACTTCGTTTATTACTAAATTTGGAACTTATTGTTACAACGTAATTCCCGTCGGGCTAAAAAAATGCGGGTGCTACATGCCAACGCCTAGTCAAATAGATGTTCGAAGAACAAATAGGCAAAACAATGGAAGTTTATATTGATGATATGTTGGTTAAGTCCCTGCGCACAGAGGACCATTTAGTTCACTTGCAGGAAACATTCAAAATTTTGAGGCAATACAACATAAAGCTTAACCTGGAGAAATATGCCTTCGGAGTTGGCTCGGGTAAGTTCCTCGACTTCATGGTATCGAATCAAGGTATCGAAATTAACCCAATAATATTAAGGCTATCGAGGATATCACAATCATGGATAGCGTAAAGGTCGTGCAAAGGCTAATAGGGCGAATAGCTACTTTGAGTCGATTCATTTCAAGGTCGTCAGATCAAAGTCACCGGTTCTTTTCCTTGCTCAAAAAGAAAAAGGATTTCGCATGGACCTCGGAATGTCAGCAAGCCTTGGAAGAACTGAAGCAACAATTATCGAGCCCGCCTTTTCTTCACACCCCGAAGGTAGATGAAAAACTTTACCTATACTTGGCAGTGTCCGAGATATCGGTAAGTGGGGTACTAGTTCGAGAAGATTAAGGTATGCAATTCCCTATTTATTACGTAAACCGAACTCTAGGAGATGCTGAAACTAGGTACCTTCACTTAGAAAAA